GTTCGAGGAATAGGAATACATTCAATTGACAGCACTGCTGGCTTTTGCAGATCGTTGTCAATGCCATCGTGGACACCCTGAAGACGGCATTCCCCAGGTCAGAGCCCCAGAGCCCCACGGAGGATCTTAGTGAGTCTGAAATGGATGGGAAACCTCAGACAGATGGGAAGAAGGCTAACAAGTAAGGGCTCCTTCAGCTTCCCCTATGCTTTATGCAGAACGTGGGCTTCGTAAGTAAGCTGACTCCATTGTAGGGAAGTACTGACTTGATGCTTGACATGTTGCTGTTGTACTGTAGTTAAATTGCTTGCCCTTCCATGTGCTGAGCAAGGGTACTTGAGTTCCGTACTGTAGCTAAATTGCTTGTGCTTCCATGTGCTGAGCAAGGGTACTTGAGTTCCTGTTTGGGTAAAGGATTTTCTAAGAATGCTCAGGTTTTCACAGAAGGTGAGTTTCTTCCTGAGGGAGCTGTGAGGTGGTGGCATTTACCAGCAAACACGTTGATGCTCCTGGAGAATTGCTTTCTAACCTTAAACATGTGCATGACCCATATACGTGGCGAGTTACTGCAGAATAGTTAACTTGTCTACCTAAAGGTTTACTCCCTCTCCTATGTGTTGAACACGGTGGCATTCCACCTTGCCCAGCAAACTTACGAGTATTTATTTAGGAGTAGTGTTTAAGTTGCATGTAGGTTGCTCACCAAGTGTTTATGTGGCGTTGCTGGCGGTGACAAGCCCCATCACGCTAATCAGTGAGTCTTCCGCTGAAGAAGAGATCTTCTGCACGAATATGGCTTTTTTTCTGGAAAAATGATGTTTTGCTAGAAAAAGCTGCTTTGAACAAAAAGACCAACGAAAAAAAGGACAAGTTTTGAAGTGTCTTGGCTGAAAAGGACATTCCTTAATGATAAACAGGCAATTTTACAATTTGTCCCACAATCCCAAACGCCCTTTCATATCCTCCTTTCTGTGTGCGCGTTTTTATAATTGGATTTCACAATCCTGCTGAGTATGTCTCAGAGGCTTTTCTGAACATTTTTTCCTGTGTATGCTGCGGTGCTCATGCCTCACTGAACAGAAATGCCTACACCTACCTATATGTAAGCTTATATCTTAACATAGCTGCTGCAGAAGGTCTATGTATCTGGTGGATGGTGGAAAGCCTCGGCCAGGCCCCTGTGTAGTTGAGGAAAAGCGCTTTAATGCTTTTGTGGCATGGTTTTACTGCCACCTCTTAGTTATCCTGAGGGCAGATGCTTTTTTTTAATCACGTTAGGTCTAATCGGACTTCTTAGTGTGGGCAAGATAAGTCCTGGACAAAGATAGCTGGTCCAGGTTCTTGACTGAAGCTCAGGAGCTCACAGCTTGCAGGTTGCGGAGAAAACCCTGGCTGTGCCATGTCTTTCCTCTCCAGGTCCAGGCTGAGGTTCTCATCCAGTAAAATTGCTCCGGTGCTGAGTGCGAGTGAAGCACATGACAGGATCATCTACTCTATCAGGGAGGGCAGCGCTGTAAGTTCAGATCTCTCTTACAATCCTTTTGTGATTCTAATCATTGCCCCGTTTGGATGCTGGCTTGGGATAATCCATGTGCACAAGGGTTGTGGCTGTTGCAGCCTTGTTCCTGCATGCCAGGTCTTTGCAGAAAGGCGATAAGCAGCCCTGGCTGTGCTGTTGGATAGAACAAGGTGCAAACCAGGTGGTGGGAGGCTGTCTGGGCAGTGGAGACCTTGAATATCTGTTCAACTCTGGCTGTGTGCAGCTCGATGCTGTGGTATTGATACACCGGTGCTTTTGTAGGTCACTGGCACCCTGTCGCTGGCTGCTATGGAGTCCTTCATCCAGAAGCAGGAGAAGCTGCTGGAGGCAATCCCCAGCAAAGCTCCTGAAGGTGAGGGAGGCAGAGAAGCTAAGGAAAGCTCCGTGCAGGAGGATATGGACGAGCTGGGGACACATCTGGACACAGACTCTGGTGAGCTCAGCCCCTCTGTTAGCAATTCAGCGTATCTCCCTTGGTATTGCAACAGCTCCGGCATCTGCAGGCTCAACTTAAAAAAAAAAAAAAAAAAATCCCTTGATTAAAGGGAAGGCAAACTGAGTTTTTCCAGTCCTGTTAGGTGATTACTCTGGTCTTTATTGGAAGCAAATTGAGTCTTGACTCAGTTGTGTTGCTGTAGATCTTCACCTTAGTGTACTCAGTACGGTTACTGCAGAAAGAAGTTTCTTAAGGACGCGCTGCTTAAACTGCCAATGTTGTAAAAGCAAGCTCTTAGAAACTGAAAAATGGCCAATTTACGGCTTCTTGGTAGTCTCAAGTTAACCTTGATATGTCCATATGTTATAAAAGGACCTTTTGAGATTCAGTTAAGTTCAGATAGATTTGGTGAGAATAGCAAATCTGTAATCCCAGATCAAGGAATGATGTTCCCTTTCTGATTAGAGATCCCTCCTCTAAAGCACAGGAGTGCTACGGCCTCTCAGAGCGGTTACAAGTTTATCCTGAAAGCGAGCAAAAATATGTTCTCTAATCTTCTTCTTGGAAGAGCTGAGTTGTATCAGCTGGAACTTTCCAAAAATTTCACTCCAGTGGTTCAAGTTTGGCAAGCTCTGACTGAAACCACGTGCTTGTGACAGGATGGGTCTGGTATTCTGAAACCTAGCCTGTGCTACCAGCTTTGCCTATAATCTTTGAACGCATGCCCACGTTTGTTTTGGGGCTGCTGGGGAGCAGGACTGGAATCGGAGGTCAGCGCTCTGCACAGAGCACAAGAGACACAGGCAGGCCAAGTTAACTGAACCCTTAAGGAAATTTAACATAAATGATGTCAAATGCCTGCAGGCCTGTGATGCTTCAGAGCCGAGACAGAGCAGGCTGGTCTGGCAGGGTAAGGGGAATGAATGTTTGGGGAGCAACTGGCTTAAAAAGGGAAACAGTGTCTGTATCTGCTTACTGGGTGACTTCTTGGAAGAGGTTGGCCAGCAGCTCTCTGAGGAAGGGGACTTGGATGCTATGGGAATAAACAGAGCTTGCTGACGATGCTCTTTGTGTGGAGTTATGGTGAAGCTAAACAGCCTGCTCCAGTTTTTTTGCACAGGGAAGTCAAGTCTCAAAGGGCAAAGCAAGTGAGGAGTAACTTGTGCATAGCCCGGAGCAAGAGGTGCCAAATGCAGTCACATACCCTGTCTTTTCCAAGTGAAATGGGCTGGAGTTAATTAGTCCAGCTCATCTGCAGCAGGGAGAAGAAGAGGGGAGGCGCTGGGGTCCAGAATCCCTCTCTTCTTTATCTCCGGCAGTAAATTGTGTGTGAACAGTCTCATGGGCTCTTTGTAGGCAGAGAGTGGCTGAAAGATCAGACATCAAGGAATGGCAGAGTAGGAGAAGCTGCTGTACAGGAGTGCTGGCTTAGTGGTTGTCTCAGGCAGGTTTGTGGTACCTCACTAAACTTGTTCTGCGTAATACCTATGATATTTTGGGGCCAAGCAGCATAAAAGTAATCCTCTAGCAAGTAGGATGTATTTACGCTTTGAAAGCCTCCTGAGGATCAGACAGAGGTTTTGGTGTCCTAGGTCTGTGTCACCAGGGATATGTGGGCACATGTGTGGGTTTTTGTCTGACCTGATGCATCTGGTTTATCCAGATGTGGTTCATCCATCTTCCTGAAACACGATGGCAGCCTGCAGACACTGACTGCAGTCTTGTGCCTGAAAAACTCTTTAAGTTGGAAGAGGGGAAATGTTGAAGACTATGTAAATAGTCTTCAGCAATGTACCTTTCTCCTGGCTACAGTCCCTGCCTTCTTTCTGACCTGTTTTGGGCACGCTGCCATCCCCATGGATGGACTGGGGTTTGATAATCCCCTGGCTGAACTGAGAAGGAGCTGGGTGCTCGGAGCAGCCACGTTCTGGTCTGGTGCATCCCTTGGTAGGAAGGCTGGGGCTGCTGGGATGAGAGTGGAAATGAAAGAGTGATCAGGTCAGGAGCCTGGGAGGACAGGCTCCCCAGGCTGCCTGTGCTGCAGCAGGTCATCAGGGTCAAGGTGGCTGTTGGGAGGGGGGAAAATGTGAGTTTTGGATGATGCTTTCTACCAGGTTTGCTTAGGTGTTGAGTTGGCTCCTTCATCTGACCCTCCTCTTCATCCTGGCAGACTCTGAGACAGCTTTGGCTGACCTGGCCCTGGATGTGCTTCGTCTGCTGCTGATGGATCACTGGAGCTGGCTGTGCACAGAGAACATCCAGAAGGTCTTCCACCTGCTCTTTGGAACACTCATTCAAAGGTAAGACCTCAGGGACCAACCTCACAGCTCTGCCTTTGGAGTTACAGTCTAAAATGGAGCTCTTGCCTGAATGCAGATAAATGCTTTCCATCTCATCAAACGACAAGGTTCTGTAAAGATGATGTCACATGTATGTAGAGGAAACACCTTGAGGATTTGCACTAGGGGCTGTTTTCCCCGGTGCAGCAACGTAACTGGTGGGAAGCCCCTGTCCTTTAACGACAGGGGAAGGGAAGGATCTAGCCCTGGGAATGGGAGGCTTCTTGCCTCATGAAAGGGCAAGAGTGCCCAGCTCCTTGGCTCTCTAGGGAGAGACTGACCTCCTGGTCTCTCGCTGCCCAGGGGCTCAGATTGTCCTTTCTACAAAAGGAGAATAAACAGGCACAGGGAACAGTGACTTATCAAGTAACAGCTCGGAGCGCAGCCTCCCAGGGCCCTTGCTCTTGCTGGCGCACGCCTCGCTGATCTGCAGTGGGCCAGTAGTGCCTGTACCTTGGGCAGTGACCCACAGATGTGTTAGGAAAAGACATCCTTGCCAGCTGGTATGGTTTTTCTGGGGCCAGTGCCTCTGTGTGGTAAGGCGCTAGGCCAAGACACGCAGAGAGCATCGCTGTTTTCTTCTGTACGTGGCTGATTATCGCAAGCTGAGCATATGGTCTTTAGAGTAAAAGGAAAGCCTTCTCAGAAGGACTTTGGCTAGGGGGAGCCTCAGAGCAGTGCTTTTCCCACTCCTGTGCTCTTTTGTCCCTTGCAGGCATTCAAAGCCAGTGTGAGAATGTGCAGGGCAGCACATTGTAACAGAGCTGGTAATTTTAGCTGCCTTCAGCAGAGGTTGCTAAAGTGTTTTGAGGTCAGGGGCTGCTGGCCATCAGTCCCAGTCTGTTTCCTTGCGTGGGACAAGGTGGGTGTTGCTCCCATTTCTCCAAAATGGGCTCTGGTCTCTTGGGGAATGAGCTGGAACCCAATCCTTGTGTGTAAGCGCGGAGGTATGAAGGCTTGCATATGCACGTCATCACCTCCTATTAAGCTGTGTCCCAATTGCCCAGGGAGCCTGCAGCACGGACATGTGGCATCGGTATTTTCCACTAGAGAAGCTGTCATACGCACAGCACACGCCTGGCTCTGGAAGCTGGAGGAACTCAGCAAGTAGTGCTGGTGGAGCAGCATGAGGGTGAACGTGTTTGTAGCTGCAATGGGTCTGGGTGAACCCACGTGTGCTGCAGGCAAACTTTTGGCTGGAGGTGATGTTGGGAAGTCCCGCAGCTCCTTGGTGTTGTGATCAGGACAAGGTGCAAATACAACCTCTTGAACTAACCCTGTGTTCCTGGGACTGCACATGTCCGTGCTGAAATCCACGTGTTGATGCTGGCTCTGCTCTTGTTCTGGGACTGTCAAGAGTCCGCAGGTCTGGTGTGAAGGGGACAGGGGAAGGAGTTGCACAGTGTGAACTGACCCGTTGCCAGGAGGAGGGTGTTGCTCATGGATTGCTGCAGGGGATGCTTTTCTCCCCTGTTTCTGCTGCTGTAATTGTCACCCCAACCCAGAAGGCCATGCTTGGCCAGTGCTTTGCTTTTCTGGAGGGGAAGAGTGTTAGGGTGGAGGTTCTCCTACCTCAAATCAAGGGTGGCAGATTTTTTAGAGGTTTTGGAAACCCATGTGGAGGGCTGGGACTCAGCTTGCCATTGCACACTGTCTCTGGGCCACATGTGGCTGAGACTTGTACTCCTGACTGGCCCAGGTGGCCACTGCTGTCCCCAGCAGATCAGGAAGTCTCTAGCTCAGACCTGCTGCATATCCAGGGATGCAGTGCGGATTTGGTGGCACTTCTCTTCCATTTAAGTATTTGCAACTTGATCACTGCTGGGCCAGACCTGGCACAGCCCTGGCACTGGCATTCTGGCTGGCACTTTTACAGGTGGAGAAAATACCAGAAGCTGTTCTGGGAGCATGTGCTATTCAAGGCATTGTTGCTCCCACCTCGGAGACGAGAGGCAGCAGATGGGCGCACATCCTGTCTCTAACTGTTGCTGGTTACAAAATACAACTAGGAATCATTGCTGCATGAGATGAGGTCCTTCTCTGTTGCCATCAGTGGCTGGGTTAGGTGGTGGGTGGTGGAAAGGAGGTGTCCTAGCAGTGCTTTGGGTGTTAGGAAGGGAGTTGCTGCTGGATACTCCTCTGGCAGCTTGTGTTTGGGGAGGAGTGTGCTGCTCCTGCTACCTTTGTGGATACTGCTACTGCTCTGCACTGAGTGTGCCTCATCCCAGAGCAGAAGAATCGACAGAAAAACACCAAAAACAAGGTTCAGCTTCTCCAGAGAGCCACTCCCCCTCTCCTTTCTGGGTTTTCTCCCTTGGGCTTGCTGTGCCCATAGCATGCCCTGCGGTGACATCGAGTCACCGTACTGTTGCTGATTATGGGACCTCCCTAACCTTCTGTTTGCCGTTCTCTGCACAGAGCATCCCACCACGCTCCTCTTTCCCCTTTTCTCCATAGCTGAAATAGCTGGAGCCAGGCGTTATCTGTCTCCCCTGACTGTCAGTTTAATGGCAGCTGGGGAGAGGAAGGCTGTATGACCGAAAAAGGTATTGTTAAGTAAAAGGGAGGCCGCGTGTGCAAGCCCACATCCCTGCGGCACTTATCCCATTATGTAACAGAGTGATCCTTTTTTGGAGCCGAAAGGAGAGGCAGAGGGGCCGGGAGGCTCGCTGCGAGCGGGGACGACCCCGGGGCCGAGGATTGCTTCCAGCAGCCTCTCCGCATGCTGGGTCTCTGCCTGTAAACAAACCCGCTGCCCTGCTCTGGCTCCGCACCCCTCCTCTGTCTGGCTCTTGCTTCCCTCCCACGGGCTGGAAATGCAGATCCCCTCTCTTTCCTGGGGAGGCTGTAACAGGGACCTGTTTGCAAAGGGGAGTAGATGGGGCTATTCTGGGCTCTGGGGGTGTTTGGTGGAAGAGCTAAAAAGCATTTGGAGAATCCATGTGCTTTTTAGAGCCTCGTGAGTCAAAGCAGCATTAAAAATACACAGCAAGTGCATGAACAGTGCTGTGGCTGTGACCCTGCACCCTGCCCTCAGTCCATCCCCTGGTCAAGGGTCTGCCTGTGCTGCGATGAGCTGGGGGCAGCTGTGGAGCCAGGGTGGCAGCTGTTGATACCAACTCGCTGTGCCTTTCGGCTGCTGCTAGGGTTCTCCCAGGCCCACATCTGCTTCCCCTTCTGGAGGAGAGTCCCACTGGAGTGCCAGGATCCTGGAGATGGACCTGGGAGGATTTTTTAGCTGCAGATCCAGGTTCTGTATGCTTTTCCTAGCTCCTTCCTCTGCATCACAACAGAATGCCGTGGCAATGCGAACCTCCGAGCGGAGGGAAGGTGTCTCGGCACACCCCGGCTGTCTGCACCCTGTAACCTGAGTGGGGCTGGGGTGCAGAGTCCGTGCTGGGGCTCGGAAGCACCTGTGTGTATATAAAGGAGTGTGTGGACCTACGCAGGCAGCTTTGATGGTGTCATGTTCCACCAAGCACGAGTTAAAATAAATGTGAAGCATCCCTGCCTTACCCCACTTGGCTTGCTGTTCGCTTTGGGTCACTCTAGTGCTCCTCCAGGTTTTGTCCCCTGTCCCGTTGTGCCTCAGCGAAGCGGCCGTTTTGGGGGAGGTGATGTTACAGCCTGTGTGAGATGTGGATGGAGAGCCAGGGATGCTTTGAGACTGCTCTCATAAAAGCCTGACTGTCATCTGTAATCAGTTCCTTGCAAGTTTTTCTAGCTCTGGTTCCCTTTACAAGGCTGGCTAGCTTTGGCTTGTTTTCCTTGTAGGGTTTCCTCTCTTGAGCTGGTTATTCCAAGGTTTCAGCCACTGCTGAACTAGCATGGGAAAGGAAAGTCCATCTGAGCTCAGATTCACCCCTGAGCCGAATCTCAGGCCGTGGTCTTGTGGGGATGGACACTGAGCCCTGAGGTGGGAGCAGAGGAGAGAAGGGGCACTTGGGCAGTGCACAGGACAGGTTTTGAATATGTAAGCTAAAATGGGGCTGAGTGGTCCTAGGAAGGCTGTAGCAGCAAGGGGCTGTCTTTGATTTGAGGTGCTAGATCTTGCCAGGCCTTGCTGAGGATCAAGAGCTGGGCAAGGCCACAGAGACATGATAGTTTTCATCCTATAAGCAGTAGTTCTGGAGCATCTGAATTCTTGTTGCAGCGTAGATTTTTGGCAGTGGGTTCAGCCTGTTAGGGTTTGGATAAACAGTTTGGCTAGGTCCCGGTCTATAAAGCAAATGCCTTGATATAGGCAGCACTGCATTCCTATGGAAATGGTCTGGGCAAGGTATAGCTACGGCATGTGGAGGAAGCCAATGCTGCGCTCCGGGGTAGGTACAGGGAGGATGTGTTTGATGTGAACAGTGCTGCAGCCTGTACAGGCAGCTGGAGCCTGTAGGGCTGTGGGTTATTCTGGAATTTGACCTTTCCAACATTGTCCTGCATGTTCAGTGCATCTGTGATGGCAGATGCAAGGCTGGGGGGAGCAGGATGTGTCTCCCTGGCCCTCGAAGCGATCTCAGAGCTGGCTGCTATGGAGGTCGCTCCCTGCAGAGGTAAAAACCATGATCAGCAATAGAGCCTCTGGTCTCCAGGGCAACTGTTGCATTGTCCTGGCCTCTTCTCTGTCCTTTCCCGGCTCTCCGTGCCATCAGGTTTCGTGTCCCCCAGTCCCTGTTTCACTGTGTGCATTGAGGGGTAACAGTTCAGCAGTGTGGCTGGTTTCATTAGCCTTCACACCAGGGGCTCGCTCAGTTTCCAGCCCCACCAAGTGTTTCCACAGTCTGTGATTTTTATGGGGCGGCAAAGGGTCGTTGCGGCCAAGCCTGGGGTTCCTTCACAGTCCAGACATCTGCACTGGCCCAAAGGGGGCTGCAGCTTGCTCTGTCGGCCCATCTCCCATTTCTCCTTCGGCAGGGATGTGGCACGGTGCCTGACATTGCACAAGATGGGTTCAGGTGGGCTGCTGC